TTCACTCAGCCTTAAAATACACTAGTGTAGAATTCCTTAACAATCCTTCCAATTATGGGGGAGAGTTTTCTCCTTATCCCAATAAATTGGAAGTATTCTACAGTGAATATATTTACTTGGAGGTTTTAAAAAAGTAAGACACATTGGTTTAAATCAAATTGTTAGATCCAGCAAGAAGACACTCATTAAATCAGTGGGAACTGGTTAAATCAAACCTTATGTGAATGTCATTGATTCAGTAGGTCTACCCTTGTTGAGACTAGCCATTGAATCTAGACCAATGAATTTCTAAAAGTCCATATATTCAGTCATTGCCATACAGCAAGATCAGAATGCTATATTTTAAAAAAAATGGCAAGACACAGTTCAATGTATTTTTTTCTTTCAGAGATTTATTCTCTGAAAATTGGCCCCATTTGTTGCATATTCTCTTTCTCACATGCACAGATCGAAAAGCATATGTGCCGTTGATGTATCCGTATCTCCGTCTATACAGCCATTAGGCTGAAAAACAGTTTTGAAGTTATGTGAGAATCCTGCATAAATGATATCTATTTTCTGCCTATCAGATGCTTCTCAGTAAAATTACATTACATTTCCAAAGTGCAATATATATATATTATTCAGGCAGCAAAACTCAAACTTTGTAGCCTTCGCTTCCATTTGAGAGTGGGAGCAATTACCTGTACAGATATTCTGCTCATCTCACAAGCTTCACCAGACAGACATGAGGGTTCATAGCCTTGTCCGTCATTAAAAGCTGGCTAATAGGACCAGTTAATGATCACTGCATATGATAATAAAGAATGAGTGAGAAATTTATTCCATTTGCATTTCAGTGTGAACCTATCAAATCTGCATTTCCTGAATGCAACATGGCACGGGTGCATACTTACTTTCCCAATCTGTTTATGCTATATGTTGCAAAAAGTCCATACAAAAAAGTGCATCTTTTAGAAAAAGGTGTGCAAGATTCTTATCTGCATTCATAAGGAAGTTCTTATCTGCATTCATTTTGCATTCATCTTCTCTTGAATTCTATACTGTACTCGTTTCTTGGAAATTGACCAGTTTCTCCTTCCTATTTTTCTTTATATGACTAAAGTATTGCCTGTCTATCTGAAGTATATCCAAATACTAGATCATTCTTATTTCTAAGGTTTATGGATGTTAACAGTGTTTGACTATGGGGAGAAAGATAAAGGACTATTGAATAAGATCCATAAATTGTTGAAGAAAATAACAATCTTGCAAGCAACCTAACACTGGGTTTCAGTGGGAAACGGCCTTCACTGCCTAACATAATTATGCCATGCCACTAACCAATAAGCACAATCCCTTTTCCTGGACTTGAGGCAAGCCCCTGTCTCCTGTTTGTTTTGCTTCCCTTTGTTTGTTTGATCTCTTCTCCAACTTTTGTCTTGAGCAGACATGTAAACTCTTCTCCCTGACCTCTGACCATGCATCCAGCATGGCGGATTTCAGTATCCCAGCATGGACTGCAGTTTCTTTCTTTACCCTTTTTATCCTTTTGATTGTAACTGAAGTTCCACAACTGTAAGTAAGGATGTTTTCTTTTTCTACTTAAGCAACTTGTAGTGATTTTTATATATACAAAGGGCTAGTTACTGCAAGAACAAAACGGATTGGGTACAAGTTGGGACTTCTAGCTGTTTCCCTTCACATTTCCCTTGTGCTGTAGCTGGCTTTCATAACTAAAGAAATTAGTGGTGCCCATTCCACTCACACAAGCCAACATAGATGGTACAGCTAATTTATTTTGTACATAAGATAGAAAATCTCATGAGACCCCTGGCCATCTTTGACACTAAGAGTGTAATGATAACAAAGTCCTAGAAGTTTGGTACCCATTCATGATACGTAGAATCTGCTTGTTAAGGCACCTGCCTAATGGTATATTTGGCCCTCACTAAAGACTTATCCCCTTCATGGATTGCTGCCTTGTCATGGTGAAGGGGCTTGAGTAATTCAGAGAAGCTATGGGCTATGCCGTGCAGGGACACCCAAGATGGAGAGGTCATCGTGTAGAGTTCTGACTAAACCTGGAGCAGGAACTGGCAAGACACTCTAGTATCTTAGCCAAGAAAACTCCATGGACAGAAACAAAAGGCTAAAAAATATGATGCTGGAAGATGAGCCCCTCAGGTTGGAAGGTGTCTTATCTGCATTCAGGAAGAGCGGAGGAAAAGTACAAGTAGCTCCAGAGCTAATGAAGTGGTTGGGCCAAAGCCAAAAGGACGCTCAGCTGCGGATGCACCTGGAAGTGAAAGGAAGTCCGATGCTGAAAAGAAAAATACTGCATAGGAACCTGAAATGTAAGATCTGTGAACTTTGGTAAGCTAGCTGTGGTCAAACAGGAGATGGCAAGAATAAACATTGACATCCTGGATGTCAGTGAATTAAAATGGATGGGAATGAGTGAAATCAATTCAGACAATTATCATATCTACTATTGTGGGCAAGAATCCCGTAGAAGAAATGGAGTAGCCCTCATAGTCAACAAAAGAGTGGGAAAAGCTGTACTGGAATACA